GTAAGTGAGGGGGCTTAACCGAGGCTAGACACATTCATGATGGGGCTATAGCGCCCTGGTGTAGCGCCATGCTTGGATCTCTTTCTTAAAGAGTAAGACCCAATTTCAATCAAATCAGAAACAACTGATAAGTTACTCTCTTGAAAGACGTCAGACTTCATTGGCAGAAACAGTAATATTATCTTCCACAACCGTATCGTATTGTGTGGTATTATTTCATACCGTACCCTATCCTATACTTTGCTATCCTATCATACCATACTGTGTCATAGAGGTGGAAAAAAAAATAAATTCATGTAAAAATCGAGATTCTTCTCTTCTAAGATTTAAAATTGATTCATTACTTCCAAAAAAAAAAAGGGCTAATCAGTTACTCCCTGCTAAGTGCTAAGGCTGGCTCTTTAACACAGCAAGACATTCAGCCAGTCTCACAGATAACTGGAGTAGATCCTGAAGTATGTACTAATTCTTACATAGACACCCAAACTCACTCTACTGGGTCGTATCGTTTGTTGAGTCATTTCAGATCGTATCATTTCTATCCTATCATACTGTATCGTATTGTGTCTTACTGTGTCATATCCTATCCTATCATACCATATCGTCTTGTATTGTATCCTATCATAATCGAGCGGTTACAAAGAAGGACTGAAGAGAAGATAACACGGGACAAAGAACTGATGATGATGTGCAGGAAGGTGAGAAAGGTTCTCCAGCCCTGAAGCTGCTGAAGAAAGATCAGCAGGTGGAAAAAAAGTGACCAACTAATATGACATCCTTTACTGGAAATCCAATATGTACTCAATATGTTGGTACTCTCACGTTAACATCAGTCTAAGCCCAGCCTGGGGAGCTCGTTCAGTGTGAGATGGCTTTAACACAGCAGCCGCCTGCAGCCCACGACCAGCGCAGACAGCTGGAGCGTCCCTCCGCTCCTCAGCACATCAATCCCCCCCCCCCCTGAGGTCGTTACTGTGAGGCAGTTAGCACCGCGCCTGCTGCTGGACACTGTCACCAGCAAATAAAATCTATTGTGTGGCCACCCAAGTGAGAGAGAGAGAGCGGGAGGAGGGGGGGGGGAGATAAAGGGAGACAGCAGAGAGGGAGAGAGAGAGAGTCAGAGAGAGAGAGAGATCATTAAACATGATCTGGGGTTAAGTGAGAGGCACATTAGGGCCGTGCTTAAATCACACACAACGAGCTACAGTCGACACAACAGCACTACGGACGCACATTCCACTGATTGACGTCCAGTTTGATGGGGAGGGAGGAGGTGCAGAGACATGAGAGAGAAAGAGAGAGAGAGAGAGAGAGAGAGAGAGAGTTTGCACAGTGCACATATGTTGGGGGGGAGGAGGTGTCTGATATTAAAGCAACTTATCTTTCTCTTCCCCTCTGGGTGGAGAGAAAGAGAGGGAAGAGAAAAGGGGAGCTGAGGAGGATAATTTGCTGTTTCAACCCTCCTGCAATCTCAGTCAATTACACAAGTCCCATAATTCAATAGAGTGAAACAAGGAGGTTGCACGGGATTCCTAATTTCATTTAAGAACATTTATAAAAACAAATTAGACAAGTTACGATGTCGGAAAAACAAGCTAGTGGAGCAGAAGTGAGGGCTCTGCATGTTGTGTGTACAGTGGCAGGCAGCGCAGGCTTGTGTGTACGGATGCAGGAGGTACAGGGCAGTAAAAGCAGGCAGCACCTGTGACGGATAGCAATGGCAGAGAAACTGTAATGTGGCTAATATCTCCAGACAGGGCTGAGCTACTGTACAGCAGCTGCCTGCAGCCGCCTGATCGCCTAATGTTTTATTTTGTCTTTTGAAAGTGCCGGGCTCGTTTTTCATCACCATCACTGTCAATGAAGCGTTATTCATTGTGGAGCTAAGCCCTCTCACTCGCGCAGCTATCTCAACTAACCCGGCAATGAACTCCTAAATCACTGCAGACTAGGATTTGAATATTTCACCACATAATTGGAGCTTTAACCTAATCTAGGGGCGCGGGAGCTCCTCTTCTGTTTCCGACGAGGAGGACTCAAAAGGCGCATCAGGATCCAATCGCTTGTAATAATGAGGAACTTCTCACAGTCTGTGAGCAAGCATAATTACCACTGATCCAGATTAAGGCTTTATCTGAGGCCCGACTGCCACTCCAACAAACAGCAAACACTGGCTTCTATCACAACCAGGGAGCAAGCTTTTTTTGCTATTTTGTCCTCCTATTTTCAGCCGCCTGAAAGCAGACTGTTTATTTTGTAAAAATCAGGAAGTGTCGTGGGAGAGGGAATGGGATGAGGGTGGAGTGGGGAGGGGTTACAGCGATTAGGAGCTTTGTGTTGGGTTTGAAAAGGGGAAAATAAAAGAGTTATGGAGATGGAGGCTTACTGTACATTGAAGCGACAGCAGCAGCTGCACACAGTGGAGAGCTCGTCGCTGCACTGTGTGACAATTTGCTCCACTTAAGCATCTCGTACACATCTGTGCTCTGAGGGTTTATTGTCAGTGACTGAATGGCTTTCATCACTGCAACAAGAGAGACATTACTGCACATTATGGCAGCTCAGCAGGTTTGTTTTTCTTACTAGAGACTCTGTTTGACATGAGTGACAGTTGTCATGAGATTTCCAAACTAGCATCGCAGAGTCTTTAAACATGCCCCGCCCCCTCCTGCTCCAAACACCCCCCTAAGTGTCAGTCATCTCTCATTGGAATCTATATGTAAGTCATCTCTCAAAACAAACACATTAGACGCTGTCAGCTCCCTGCATAATGCTGCCAATGCCGGCATGTCAATCAAACATCGCTATCTCTGCTAGCTATCAAACCTGCACCCGGGTCCTGCAGCTGGAACAGCTCGCCTGTCAAAGCCTCATGAAAACTCAGTGGAAACAAAACAATGGTTTTTTTTACAGAGTCATGTGCTCGCTCTGGAGCTTTTCTCGACACTTGTCTGACCTACAACTTTTGCACTGAGTCATGACAAGTGCAGACGTGTCCCTCGGGGGGGGGGGGGGGAAGAAACGCTATCTGTCGCTCAGAATGTGTCCTTTTACAGGGTCGACGGGCTTAGTGAGCAGACAAGTGAGGGTCTGATGTGTCCAACTGACGAGTCTCTTCTTCGAGGACCTGCGAGGATTACATTCCCCTCCATATCTGGCCTTTTTGTGGGTTGTTAGTTTAGCCTAAGGTTTGAGGGTTTGGGGGGAGGTTCAGGGACGCCACAGACCTTGACGTCTGCTGGGAGGTGACGGGAGGAATAAAGCTCTCACAAACCCTGACAAGCCTCACGACGCCCAGCTTAGCGCTGTTGCACACCAGGGGACGGATCCACTGCTTCCGCGCACATTTTTGATTCATGGCAGCAGATAATGACACCAGTTGGATCAGCTGAATTTATTCCACTTTTCAGACATGTCAAAACCTGGTGGCTCTTTTGACGCCTGCCTCCAGCAGACTGATGGGCAGCCGCCGAGCTGCAAACATTCCCCCGATGAGAGTTTGATGTTTGCAGCCATACAGCATCTCTCAGTCCTGACACCTCTCCCTTAATTTCCCCTCTCACCATTGCATAGCGTATAAAAACTGGGGTAAACAAACAATGCTACCATCTTGAATCTGTCTCACCAGGGGCCGCTGGAAGTCATGATGTGTTAGCTGCACAGTAGCCGACATAATGCATGATTTCTATTGTCTCCCCATCACGCTTAATGTCCAATCAATGGCTCTTGTGAGCAGAAGAAGACGAAGTGTCGGCGAGGATTTGCCTGGACAGTCAGCTGCATTAGAGAGGGATTTAGAGTACAGTACAAGAGATTGATTATCATTATGAGCTCAGCACTCACAGCTACTGTGTAAGAGTGGATCAAAGGAGCATAATGGGGCCGTAAGCAACCCAGACTTATGGAGCCAAAGATGCAAACTGCAGCTCTGCTTATATGTTCATAATCAACCCTATAAAAACCGAAAGTGTTCTGGTGGTTTGGGGACGTCAGAAAATATGTTTGGGATGAGTAGAGATCTTTCACAGGATGCTTGTGGGACTGAAGTATTCTATATGTTTTGTGACGCACAAGGACCACTGAGGTCGTCTGGGCCAGGCCTCCTCACTGTGCCCAGGATAAGTATGAGGCAGCTTTTGGTTTTTATGCCCCCCCCCCCCACCTCTGGAACAAACTGCCAGAGAGTCTGAGGTGTGCTAAAACAGTTGACACATCTAAATCAGGGCTCAAAACATTTCTGTTCAATGTGGCATTTGAGTAAACCATCATGTCGGTTATTAGAGACATTTACCTGCTTTGCTTTGTTTTACTCACAGATATGTATACGTGTATGTGTGTATTTACAATACGTTTTTACTGTTTTCTTTTGATCAATTACTTTTTATTCAACTTATTTTGTATCCAAATCTTATTTTACCTACTGTTTTTACCTCAACTTGTTGTATTTTGTTTATTGTATTATTACTATCTTGTGAAATGTTGAAATGCTTTTTGTGCCTATGTAAAGCACTTTGAATTGCCTGGTGTCTGAGTCATTAGAGTAATAGAAGATAGATAGATAGATACTTTATTGCTCCGGAGGGAAATTCAAAGCATCCAGTAGCAGGTTAAAGAACGTACATGACATGAAACATTTGTTACAAATTAACCACAAAGCCGACTCCCCCCCCCCCCATACATATATATTAACCCAAAAAAAGATTTAAAGAATACCCCTAGATGAATCAAACTTAAACTGTGCAATTAAAAATAGATTCATACAAGAAATGTACATAACCCGTGCAGGGATAAAAAAAATGTATGTGCGATTTAAACAAGAACCTATAAACAGTTGAGGAAGAAATCTGTAATTACACCTGAATATAAAGAAATAAAAATAAATATAAATTAAAAAAAATGACTAAACTGGAGCTAATGTTAAATATTCAAAATGAAATGCACCCAAAGCTTTAATTGATCTGCTGTTTACTACGAATGACACAGCCGGACAGTGAACTCACCGTGGTGTATTTGCCAAGCTGGCAGAGGGAGGGGAAGGTTTCTTGATGGGCCTTACGAATCTTTTCAATGATAGTCTCCAGCTCGGCTGTCAGCTCGTAGCTCTCTGCCAGCTCCAGCTTTGGGCTCTCCTTCTTCTTCTTATTCCGGTCATTCCGAACAGCTGAAGGAGAAACAAAGGATTTGGATTAACGTCAACAATGACTTGAAAACTGATGACTTGATGGTCAGAAGCAAATTTTGGATGTTGATGGACTGAAGGCAAATAAAAGACAATTCTTGGAACAACTTTGCTGCTTTAAGCCTTTTCTTCTGACTTCTAAGGCATGCAGGGCGTTGTAAAGAGAGAAAGTTTCTCTGCTCTGTCAGCTTAGTGCTGCTGGAAACGTCTCAAAAAGACAGAAAACCCAAGTGTCAGTGAAAACATAAGCACTTCATAAATCGATTTTGCATTTTTTTTTGCAGACTAATTGTCTTGATCAATTTCATTTTACAGCGATTTTTGTGCAGCTAGGGGAAGAATTGTAAATTCATTCATTCACTTAACCTTTATAATGGTCTTGAGCTTGTAGATTTATTTTCTAGACTATTCAAAGTGCTTTTACATTGCAGGTCACACCTACACATTCACACACTGATGGTAGAGGCTTCTATGTAAAGAGAACATCAGAAGGAACTAATCACATTCATACGCCGCCGACGAAGCAGCGGGAGCAAGTTGAGGTGAAGCGTCTTGCCCAAGGACACATCGGACATGTAGCTGCAGGAGCTCGGGATCGAACCCCCGACCTTCCAGTAAGAAACGACCGACTCCACCAACTGAGCCAATTTAACCAATTTAAGATTAAAGTTAAATAATTTCATATTTAATTAATAAGATTTGTGATAAATGATATTATTGTAAGTGGATACATTCTTGTGTTTGGCCTAAATTCAATCTTTTGAGAGTTTGCTGGCCAAAAAAATCCTTACGTCTGCGGGATGTTTGTGCCACATTCAAGGATATTCCCTCCAGGTATTCCTTAGTAATCACATTCAAAAAATAATGATGAATAACCTGTAAACATAATGCACTGGCCATGGCTGTGGCTCGAGCAGACGCATACAAATGCTATTCACTTAAAACCAATCAGAAGCTGTTTTTACACATGCACACAAACTTGCAGACGTGCAGACCAGGGTGGTGGTGTTACTTTGTAACAGTTATTCTCACTCAGTGTGCCATAATCATCTGTTTAAAGAAAACGATGTGACAGCGATGGTGGATGAAAAAAATCTCACACAAGACGTGACCAGTGATGCCTTGACTTTACTGCTCGCCTTAGCTCTCAGTATATCACTTTGTATTTTTGTTGTAGAAACAACCTCATACATGATGTGGCCATGTAAATGGATAAACATATACCTTAACTAAACACTCCTCTCCCCACCTCCTCCACCCCCCTTTTCTTTTATTTATTTATTTCAAATAAGACTGATGACAACATACAGTTATTTCTTTAACCGCCATCAGAGTGACTGTTTACCTGTTTCTATACAGAAGACACATTGGATGATCTCTTTACCTACTTACCCCCGTGAGTTGGAATGACGTTGTTGACATCTAACATTATGCACTTCTTATTTATTCAGCATCTTATTCTTTACATTTTTATAGATTAAAATACCCTTTCTAACCGATCATTGTATTTTCAGCTGTGTGCAGAAACGCTCAGGAGAGAGACTCACAGTACCAAACAAGCTTCATTAGCAGCAGCTCAGGTGAAGTGCACCCTGAGAGACCGAGTCCACAGAGTCTTGTGCTGCATTTGGAGCAGATCTTTGAAGTCCATCGCAGCAGGAGACTCACACAAACAGACCAGTTTTTATTACTCAACACACAGCATGATAATCCAACATCACACATCTGTAATCAGCTGCACGCACAACTTTAAAAATAACAAGGAGGGGAGATGGGATCATCGTCGGTGCAGAGGGACTTTTCATTGGCCGGCAACACAACAGTCACACACTCTAATAAGCTCCACGAGCAGAAACGTCCTCAAACTAGGATCAAGATTGGAGATGCTTTTGAAAAACGGAGAGAGGTTCGAACGCAGAAAGGTTTACAGACCAATGCAGAGCTGACTAAACACTGAAGCTGCAGTGTCCACCACATGGCAACCTGAGAGAGCATCGACTCTAGAGAGGAGGGGGCGACGGCTCTCTGCAATGTTTTGAATTTGGACTGCAGTACCCATTTTAAACACTAGGGGTCAGAGTTAAATCTGTCCTTTAACCAGTTAAAAAAAGTTCTCACACATGCTTGAAGTTATTATTTACTGAACTTCATTAAAATTACAGTTTTCAGCATTAAAATAGAAAATGAACTGGAGATTCTGGTCATCTTGTAGGCTCCTTATAAGCAGTGAAAAAAAACCCTCTGATAAACCCACAGTGCACCATCTGTAGAACACCACAACAGATGTATCAGCTAAACATCACGGCTTCAGAGTGCTACATCCACTCCTGTACAAAACACATTCATCACTCCACTGGCCTGATAAGTGGTGGGTGACTATTTTTAGCTTGATGCAATCTAGAAACTCTAATCTCTGGAGCATCGTGCACTGGTGTGTGATTAGGGATCAGCCTCCATGTGTTGGCATAACTTTATCATAGAGCTCCTGACACCAATGTCAACATCTGGCAGTTTTTTCTACCCCACACCGACAACACCATCAGCTCAGAGTGTTGATGGCCAGAAGGGTTATGATACTGACAGATTATGTTTATTTCCGTAATCAGGTATTAACCCCACTGTGTTTAACCTCAAATATCTAATCTGAGATTTCAACAATGTTTTATGCCCTTAAATATTGGGATTATTTTCCAATCTTTATTGAAGAGCAGACTCTTCCAGTTAGAGAGTATGAATGGTTGATTTCAGAATTTGAAAGAAGTTCCCTCAAAATCCTGCCCTTGCACTCAAATATACACTGTTGCACTTAAATTTGCTCTGCTAGTGATCTGGATTGTATGCTTGCAATCCGCTTGCGAATATCCAAAAATCCAGCTTCAGCCAATCACCTCCCAAGCTGCTTCCCTGCACTCTCGTCTTCTCTGCTTTAGGATTTTTTGTGCGACAACAAAGCATCAACCCTCTGGTGTTGGATGCGGAAATGCAAAAACCTGCAGTTCCTTGGGTGTCCACTTGAGGCTGGCTGCAGAAGCCCCAGACGACACATACACACCCATATTAAAATGCCCATTTTTACAGCAGAAATAAACATGTTTAAATATCATATCTTTACATCCACACACTGAACAGGAGGTCACATTTTTCATCACTCCTCAGTTTTGATTTTATGAATGATAAGAGTTATTCTTAATAAAGTGTGTGGTTGACCCGGCTGTTGAGCAGGCACGCTACAGCTGTATGTCAGGAGGTTAAAAACCCACCCAGCTGCAGCTCTAAGCCTTGGGTGAAGATTACTGATAGTTAGGTTGAGGCAACATTTCCAGCATGGCAACCACAATCAATGGGTTTTCGAAGCCCAACCAATGGGTGATGGCATTCAGTCACTGTCCATTTTTAATCACAGTTTTTGGAAACAACCCTGCCAACAAACACACTCAAATAATTCCTACGCTTCAACTTTCTTTTACTTTGGGAGTCCAATATTCTATATGTCATAAAGAAAGCAAACGGGGAGCGTGTAGCCTACAGCTGCTGTGTGTGGAGTGGACCTATCTTTCTAATAGGAGTCTAATCCTTCTCTTAAGCCGAAGGCGTCTGAGAGAAATTACGCACATTCATTACATCGACAGCCTTCAACACACAGCTGGGAGTCCTATCAGACAAATATATAAGTACCCGAGAGTGTCCATATGCTGTTTATGTATGTTTCATATTGATATATATATGACATCTTACACCCTCATCTCAAATCTCCAGTGCTCTCTTCATCGTCGTCAGATCATCTTAATGCATCGAAATGAAAGAAGAGTCAAAATAATTTCCTGTTTCACAGAATTAGTCTGAATGTTTTGGTCAGCTGCAGCCTCGTTCAGATGTCTGTCACTACGAGAGGTAGCAGCAATGTGCTGACATTAATCACTCCATACATACTGACCTACATCTGTGACCTACATATCCATTAAATATATATACAGTACATATAGGAATGTATAATTTAAGCTACATTAACTATGATTGGACGGAGCGTGAAGCACATTAGGACAGTGGACAGGTTTATTATAATTCATTAAAAAAGGAAGAAATGCTTAAACACTCAGCCTGGCTACATTATCCTAAACAAGTCGAGTCTGGGCACAGACTACACCAGATTTAAAAAGGTATTTTCTGCTGCATAAGTCCTGAAAGTAATCTTCAGAAAAGTAAAATGAAAAGCATAGAGTTGATCCTTGTCACCTTGTCGCTCACTGTGGTTTATAGAGTCAGTGTGGGGGCAGGGGGAGGGGCTACACCAACAGAGGAGTGGGTCGATATGCGACTCAGTCCAGATCAAAATAAACACACAGCTACCTCAGATTGGAGACGTTCTACAAATCGCTGCAATGAACTCCAACCAAACTGTAAAAAAATATATATTTCCCTTAAGTATCCTGGTTAAGACAGGCGGCAGCACAGGTAACCAAGTATGCAACAAATAACTCACAGCCATACTTACAAATATGACATAAGACACATGAATACACTTAAGACATGAAATTACAAGTAAATCTTTGTCAAGATCGATATACAATAACAAATAATATATCTACAGCTAGATATGTCTTCCCTCCAAAGTCATTTAACATCCGCTTAAAGCTCTGTCCAAAATGCACGAATACGCTGGCAACATTTTAGTAATTTGAGCAATTCAGACAGCATGCAGGAATTTGCATGCACGTTTAAGTGATTCAAAACAAGAAACTATCCCTTATTGGGTGCCTATAGGACTTGTAACTGTGTTGCCATGGTAACGAAATAGGAATCAATATTGTTTGATTTTTACTGCAATTATAAGAAAGATTAAAACTCTGACATGGTGACAACCCATAATTGGAAGCTAAACTGTTCTGAGATTTAGTTGACGCATTTGAGCTGCTGGGTTGGGTCTCTTTCGCTCTCCTCAGACTGTAAACATGCACGCCCAGATGTGATTGGATAATTTGGAC